GTGCCTTTGAACCTTTTTTTTGCCAACTCGAGCCACAATTGAGGAAACCAAAGGTGCGTCGGTGGAAGGTGGCACCATCCTCGCTAGCTCGAGCGGTTCCTGGGCAACAAAATATCTGAGATAGAATCGAGGCACACAATCCCGACGTCAAGACACGTCCACATAGGTATATTCGAGTCTTCTCAGTGTATGACTCTTCCTCTCATTCATACCTTTTTTATTATAATTCTTTCATATTACTCTTATTTAGTTGTATGCTCTGAACATGTTCCTGCATTAGCATTTTTGTTCTAATTACATATTTTATTCGGAGGCATTTTAAATATGGCTTCGTCACATTCGGGTGTTGACCAGCATGTGCCATCATGGTATTAAAGGAATATCGGGATCGGGCCATGTCACAATCAGTGCATGGAGTTTGCACTAACATACCCTGACACAAATATCAAGACGGCATGTACTATCGTCGCGTGGGCCGGAGGTCCAATTCGGCCGAGAAGTGACCTAAAATCACCCTAGGCCGTCGGAACCTAAAATGAATGTTCTTCGAATCACTATCAAATCAAACCATGACGCCCTAACCAGTGCTTAGGCCTTGTTCCTAGGTTCAAGGAAAGTCTATTGGTGGCGGTGGTCAAAAGAACAAGCCCTAGAAACGATCGATCGTCGTCGAATACTCATTAACCCGTCGGTGGGGTTCTTCGCGAAACCGAGGCCACATCTCATCGAGTTTGTGTGGAGATTGAAGGGAAAGTGAAGTGGTGGTGTTTGATGGTGGTGGAAGGTCGAGAAAAGCAGGAAGAATCGATTGAAATCACATCGGAAATTGCAGAGGCTTCAAGTCAAGAGCCGGGTCATGAGGGGGCAAATGGGTCGCATTGGGTTCTCTCCTCTTTTCTCTGATTGGTCACCTCACTATCACTCTCTCTCTCTCATTGGTCCCTCCCCCCAAATTAATGTGAGCTTCTAATTATATATTAAATATTTTTTTTAATCGAACTTTTAACGTCTGTAACTTCTTCGATATCACTCTGATTCGCGAACAGCTTTCGCATACTCGCTCGTGGAATTGAGTTCTATTTGAAAACACTATGTGTGGTCTCGAAAGGTCTACGAATTTTAAAAGATTAATTATGATAATTCATGTCTTAGAACTATACAATTCAAATTCAAAAATTAACTGAATTAGAATAAAATAAAAATAACGTAAATACGAAATACAAAATTAAATAATGAAATACATAATTAATATTAAAATATGGGAACGAGATTTCACATATACAATAAAGCAGCAGATTTGGTGAATTCTTTTTTTCTTTGCATATTTGGTGAATTTAGGGTCATTTGATTGAACACCCAAAACATTCGATCTTATACCAATGAATATTGCTGCAACCAATAGCCCATTAAAAATTTGATAGTGGGAAAGCAGCCAAACTAATGAAAACATTGAAAAGGAGAAGACAACCCACTCATCCCTCTCTATTTCTATCTTTGCAATCCGTACTGCTCCCTCCCTCATTCTCTTTCTGTGACGCTTAACAGGATTGCAGATCTCGTATGAACAGGTCTTACTTGCCCTTGTTCACGCCTCCCTCCCTCTCGCTCTCTCTCTCTCTCTCTCTCTCTCTCTCTCTCTCTCTGTAACACTTCCCTTACCAAATCTAAACACCTCACCTCTCCCAAGTCGAAAATGATAATACCGCCTACCCACCTTTTTACCTTAGGCTGTTGGATCTAAAATCTGGATGGGTATTACTGTCATTTGCACATTGAATCAGGCCTTCCTCATTAACCACCCAGAACAAAGCTTTTAAGATGGATAACAATTCAGTAAATGAATCAAAATCCCCAATTGAAATAGCCCTTAGACTAATGTAATTACAAAATTGCCTTTTTTTTTTGTGGGTTTGGGGAGGGGTGGCCCAGTTCCTTGCCATGTATGTAATTAGTTGTAACCTATGTAAACGTATTTGATTTCTCTTCAAGATTAACGATTTTATTAGTGGGGCAAGTTCATTTTCATCAAATAGATGGTGGGTTGAATGATATATAATATGCAAGCTCAGTTAGCTGTATTGTTGTTTACCTAAAAACAAATGTATTTTCTATTTTAATATTGCTAATATCATTTTGAGCAGAGAATAAACAACATTTCTTTTTCTTGCACAAATATATGGTAGTAAAACTTTTAGTATATTTCTTTATTTACGTGACAAATTTGTCGATCTGCCACAGCGCATGGGCATAACTAATTGTATAAAACTAACTATTGCTTTTTTCTACATAATCATATATATCAGGACGGAGGCAGATCTAATTAAGAATGTTGTAGATCATATTTGGACAAACTTGATTTGTGAATCATCATGTGATTTAAAGGGCCTGGTTGGAATTGAAAGCAGCATCAAGCAAATTGAATCGCGACTGGACATTCACTCACAGGAGGCTTGCATCATTGTAGGTATTTGGGGAATGGGTGGTATTGGCAAGACCACCCTTGCTGAAACTGTATTTCACAGACTCTCTTCTAAATTCGAAGCTTCTTGTTTTCTTAAAAATGTCAGGGAGAAATCAGAACAATCAGATGGACTAGATCGCTTGCAAAAGCAACTTCTAAATGAGATATTCAAGGATGAAGTTCTATCCATAGAATCAACTGCTGTTCGAAATAGGCTCAGACGCACAAAGGTCCTCATTGTTCTTGATGATGTGAGTAGCTCAATGCAAATGGAACGTTTAGCTGGTGATCGTCTTCGATATGGCACTGGAAGTAGAATCATTATCACAAGTAGAGATAGGGGCACACTTAGACAAACTGTTGAAGAGGATAATATCTACGAGGTTGAGGTATTAAAACCAGAAGACGCTCTTCAGCTTTTCTGTTCGCGTGCTTTCAAGAATGACACTACTCGTAGAACATATTATAAGGAGTTGGCAAAAAAGACCGTGGATTATGCCAGAGGCGTTCCTTTAGCTCTTACAGTTCTGGGGTCCATGTTCTTCAAGTGCATGAGCAAAGAAGATTGGGAAGAGGAATTCAACAAATTGAAACGATTTCCCATTGAAGATATCCAGAGAGTGTTGAGAATAAGTTATGATAGATTGGGAAAAGATGTGAAGGAGATATTTCTAGATATAGCATGTTTTCATAAAGGGAAGGAAGTGAATGAGGTAAAACGAATGTTAGATATTCGTCGATTCTTTGCGACAGCCGGAATTAGAATTCTCATTGAGATGTCTCTCATATCAATTTGTTCAAATGTATGGGGAACGAAAATCATAGAGATGCACGATTTGCTACAAGAAATGGGAATGACAATTGTTCAGGAACAATGTATTAAAGATCGGAATAGGTTGTTCACGCATGAGGATGTCTATCGTGTACTGAACAGTAACAAGGTAAGAGCCAAATGCATTTAATTTTTCCTTTTCTTTTTTAAGAAAAAATAAATAGCAAACTTTAGATGATAACACAACAAAAGTAAAACTTCTTATGATAAAGAAGTCAGATTCTTAAAAAAACTACTTTGATTGAATTTTTACTGCAAAAATGCTATTTTTAATAGGAAAAATTAGTATCCGGTCCCTCTTTTTTACTATTCATTGACTAAAACCTTATTAGTTCTCAAATTTTGATTCAAGTCCCTAGCATTAATGTGATAATGAATTTACATGTTTATTATATAATTTTTTAATATAAAAATTAGTAATTAATTTAGGGTTTAATACTCACACCTCTATTAAACTTCTAATTAATTTTCAATTCAAACATTTCCAAAATAATAAAAAATTAAGTTTCTACCTATTAGTTTTTTTTTATATATGTAAAAAGATTCTCAATTTTTTATCTTAAATGTACCCATTCATATAATTTTTCAATTTTTTTAATCTTAAATGTACCCATTCTCAAATATATCAATTTGTTATATGTAAAATGTACCCTTTTTTTAATATAAAATCCATTGAAATTTTTTAATCCATGTTTAAACTTATATGGGTACATTCTTTTTCGTTGATTTGAGAATGTATCCATGTTTTGGTACAATAATTTTTTTTGTTAATTTTGGTTAATGTACCCATACATATATGTACACACACACACAATATAATAGAGAGTATAATTTATATTTTATTATTTTTAATCCCATAAATTATGGGTTTTATTTAAAATCTCATTAATATAAACAATTACAAATTTCAATTTTTAATTTTTAATTTAAAAAATATGGTAACTTACATTATTACATTAATGTTAGGGATCTCAATCAAAAACTAAAAACTAACAAGGTTTCAATCAAAGAATTTTGATAGCTAAGGATCGCATCCAAAGTGTCCCTTTTTAATATCTATTTATACTATCATTTGTATCACCTATCTAATAGAGATGAGATCCAAATGCGTTGGTGGACCTTACCTTTACTAGAAAGATGATACAAGTGATAATAACTAGGTGGTAAGAATACCACTACCATTTTTATTATGGGATGAGGATCCTCTCCGGAACCTCTTTGTGAGGATCCAGATGATCCTTTAATCGGTTCCGTTAATCGTAAATCTTGCGGCCAGTTATTGTTAGGTAATATTTGTGTTTAATTTTAAATAAAAAAAAATTCAAATGATTTCTGACCGCACGATGTACGATGAGTGAATACGATTGAAGAATCTCCGAAATCCTCATAAAGGGAATCTGGAGAGGATCCTCATTCTTTATTGTGCTAGGAAGTCTATGTAATTTTTATTATTTTACAACAATTATCTTGGATATTGTACTAGAAACTTGTACATCATTACCATCGCAACTACTCTAGAATATTCTACAACGTTGTTGAATTCTTTTTCTAAATAAGCATTACATCTTAACATGTTGAAAATGTATACATTTAAACGTTGTTCTTATTCTTTGTTCTTATTGTCAGGAAACTCCAAACGTTGAAGCCATATTTATTGAATGGCATAAGAGTGTAGAGCGACCACTAAAACGCGCAGACTTCAACTGATGCCAAACCTAATAATGCTAAGTGTGGATAATCCTCAAATGTTTGATTGCAAATCCACCGCTTCTCTAGACTTTCCTGATTCTCTTCGTTACCTTTGCTGGTGGGGATATCCACTGGAATCTTTGCCGTCAAATTTTTCGCCAGAAAATCTAGTTGAGCTTCATATGCCAGATAGCAAAATTAAGAAGCTTTGGAAAGAAGACCAGGTATATTATATGCCTATTTTAATTATTGTATAAAATTAAGTGTAGAAATTATATCAATTCTTGATGTTTCTCTCTACTCTTGTTACAGAGACTTGTAAACTTAGAAGTGATCGATCTGCACCGCTCTACAAATCTAACTGAAGTTCCAAATCTCTCTGGGAGTTTAAAAATTGTGGACATAAATCTCGATGGCTGTCCAAATTTGGTTGAAATTCCTAGGTATTTTCAAGATGTTGACAAGCTTACTCATCTTTGTCTTTTAGGCTGCACCAGTCTCAAGTATCTTCCAGAGATGCCAAGAAATATTAAACACTTAGATTTATCTGAGAGTGGTATAAAGGAGTTGCCCCGATCAGTTTGGTCTCACGAAAAAATTTCTTACTTGAATATAAGTTGTTGCGATAACCTTGAGAAACTTCCAAGCAACATGTGTAAGCTGAAAGTCTCTGGTTCTTTTAATCTAGATGGCTGCTCATCTCTTGGCGAGTTTTCTGAGCTTCCCAGGGATATAAGTAAATTATCATTGGTTAATTGTCATAGACTTGTGATTCTTCCAACAAACATTTGTAAGTTGAAATATCTCGAGGAACTCGATCTCTCCAACTGTGTTAAACTTGAAAACTTCCCAGAGATCTTGGAGCCAATGGAACATTTGAAGTCCTTAAATTTAAGTGGTACATCAGTTCAAGATTTGCACTCATCAATCGAGTTTCTACCTGCTCTCGAAAGACTTGAACTACGTGATTGCAAAAGGCTTTTAAGTATCCCAAAGAGCATTTGTAAGTTGAAATATCTCAAGGAACTCGATCTCTCCAACTGTGTTAAACTTGAAAGCTTCCCAGAAATCTTGGAGCCAATGGAAAATTTGAATTCCTTAAAATTAAGTGGAACAGCAGTTCAAGAGCTACACTCATCAATCGAGTTTCTCCCTGCTCTCCAAGTACTTGAACTACATGATTGCAAAAGGCTTTCAAGTATCCCAAAGAGCATTTGTAAGTTGAAGTATCTATTGGAGCTCGATATCGATGGGTGCTCCGAACTTAAACATTCCCCAGAGATCTTTAAGCTAATGAAACATTTGGAGCCAACGAGACATATTTTTGAACGCTTACAGGCTGCCCTCATTGTTCAGAAAGCAGCCTTACAATTTATTCAGTCCAAAAAGACTACAAGAAAAAGCCCTTATTGCGACAGGTTTTTTGCGTCAGATAGCACGGCCCTCACAAATAACACAAAATATGCGCGCTAGATGGAATTGCCCAGCGCGCGTTTCCTTTCGCCCTAATCCATCCAATTAGAGATTCAATCGGAGATTCTAGAGCTTAGTCGGAGATTCTGGAGCACAATCGGAGTTCTTGTAAGCCACTACAATCATCTCCATCGTCTCTCTTTTTCTTATTCAATAACTTTTGCTAAGTGATTTCTAGGGTTCCTCTCAAATCTGGAAGGCAATTGTTTTTATTAATATTGGATTGATTTTTCTAATTGTTGTTAATGTGTTTACCAATTTTTGTTATTTCCAATTTTTGTTGTCGTTTGCTTTCAAGTGAGTTTTGAGATACACAAGGAATTATTTTTCGTTTCAGTATGGGTGGTAACGGAATTTGATCTGGAACTCAGTAGATTCTGCTAAAATATATTTTTTAGTTAAATTCAGAGTTGTGTTTTTTTTTTTTCAATTGGGTTTTAAGTTTTAGTAGAAACACAGAACCACTTCTGGTATAGCTAATGGGATTGTTTAGTTTTGGATTAGTTTGGAAAATTGTTTAGCTTTGGGTAGCTAATGGGACTTTGTTGTGTTGCATTAGTTTGAAAACTTGTAAAACTACAGGGAGTATGAGTTTGGTAAATTTAATGAGTCTTTGACTCTTTGTAGGGTACAATTTCCCACAATTTTTCATTTGGAATAAATCTGCATTGTTCGTGATTTTAGGAGTTTTAGCAATGTTTGTTGCCAGGACATTACGAAGTTTTGTTTCTGATAGATTCATGTCCACAATTTTTAGTTATATCTGTTTCTAGTTACCACAATGTTTGTTGCCGACATTCACCTTTCCCAGACCCTGCGTAAAGCGGTAGCCTTGTGTACTGGGTACGACCTTTTTTATTTGTTTCTAGTTATATCTGTTTTCTTCTTATTGATACAAAACTATGATTTTTGCAAAAAAAAAATCATACATTATTGATGGTTCAAAAAATGTCGCTTGTTTCAGGTTTTGGCTAAAGACTACATGATGCCATGGATGTATAATGTATAGGACCTTTCAACTAAGCGTTGCTGTTATAGTTTTGTTGGTATTTGTATATGATAATACACTGTATAATGATTTTCATTAATTATAGTTTATTATTAATAACAATTCTTCATATCTAGCTTATAGATATCTACATAATTTATAGATTATTCATTTTTAATAATTATTTATTTCTAGTTTATAAAATTAAATAGATAATTTGTATCTGGCGTCAAATATGATGTCATATTTTTTTTCACACCTGCCATCTATTATTAAAGATTCTTCAGATAGTGTGACAAGGTTGTCACGAATAGTTCTTGCGACAGTTAGGTTGCGTCGTATATGGTATCAAAACATTTGCAACACAGGTTTATTGCGACGCGTCCATTACCGTCGTAAGGCTGTCGCTGAAAACTTTTTACGACGTTTTTAGCATTTTTGGCAACATTCCCGTTCCATCGCAGAAGGCCCTTTTTTTGGTGGTGAATTCCTAAAATCTTAAGCCAATGGAACATTTGGTGTCTCTTAGTTTGCAAGGGATAACTGTCGAAATTCTTCCTTCGTCTATTGAAAATCTAATGAGGCTTAAAACTTTAAACCTTTGCGGCTGCAAGCAGCTTAAGAATGTCCTAACAAGTATCTACAGTTTAACCAACCTTAAAAGTCTCAACTCTCAACTTTTATGCTTGTCGGAAACTTGAAAATTTGTCTTCTAGCTCTGCCGGTTCTCTCTCTTTTGGACTACTAAGGGCTGATTTAGTATTGCTGTGCTTTGAAAAAAAACTGTTGTGAGAATAAGCGGCTGTGAAATAAACCAGCAGAGTGTTTTTGTAAAAATGCTTTTGGAAAAAAAGCAGTCTGATAGTGGGTCTTTTCATTAAAGGAGCATTGTAGCTCCGTGTGCTTTGAAAAAAAATCAGTTTTCCAAAACTGCAAATAACAGCTTCAGCTTTTTCCTTTGATTTCAGCTTATTCTCACAGCAATTTTTAAAATAAGCCTTTTTTTTCAGTTTACCAAACACCTAAAACCCTCACAGCTTTTTTTCATGGGTGCTGTTTTTTTAAGCACATCTCACTCCCAAACCACACCTAAATCTCACCAGCTACAGAGGTATATTGGAATATCCCTGATCGTCTCATTTTCTCAACCTCATTGTAAAATTTATTTTTCTGGAACCAAGATGACAATTCCAAAGGTGGTGGATGAAGAGACGAGTCTGAAGTCAATGGATCAAGTGATGAAGTCCAAAGCAAATGAAAGTGATGATCATGGACTGCAGCCGGTGGAACGGAAGATGTTTCAAACTTTTAATCCAACAATCTGTATAGAATTATCCGATAGAATTAGAAACAACTTTACAACAAATTTGTACTTTGATAGCTCACTTGTCCGTCCAAGAAATAAAGACTGACAAATAGGCAAGGCTTTTATTATTTTAGAATTGTTTATACATTATAAAGCACAAGTTATGGGCAAGTATGCCATATCCTATATGTAATTTTTAAAACTTGATTTACAAGTCCAGCGGCATCTTGAAATCCGCCTCTATATCATAAACCTAGACATTAATTAATACCCCATACCCAGGGCAAAGTAAAAATCTCACGACCAAGCGCCATAGTTTGAATATTCGACACTACAAAAATACACGATAGTTCAATGGCTGAACTGCAATGAGCGAAAAATATGAATGGCCCAATTGGACTAACACCGGCTAAACTCAATGTTCTTGTTTGAACCATACTAAGATTAGCAAAACAAATTTTATTAGAGCAGGTTAAAAATTACAGCAAATTAAGGCCGAAAAACGAAAGGCACAGCCCCAGTTTAGTAACAATCATCAAATTTGTAACAACGACAAAACAATAGGGGTCTTCGCTTCAATAGGACTAGGAACATTCCAAAGTTCAGGGGAAAAATTATACGTCGCGTAACAAGCTAAAAGAAAAAAAAGAATGGAGAAAAAACGAGATGCATGTACAAAGAAATGAAATACAAAATTTCCAAGTACCTGTTTATTAGCTTCGGTTGCTTGTTTTAACTTTGAGTTCAGTGAGTTAACCTCCTCTGTACTCAGTTGATTTACAAGATGTTTCTCCAATTCTGGTACTCTGGGTTTCTGCTGATTGGCCTGCTGCTTTTCTTCAGCATGAGAAGGAGCAATTGGCATCGGTTGCTGTTGAAAGCCTTAGGAAGTGAAAAATAAGAAACTATTCTCCATCAAAGAAAGACAAGGTTTCAAAAAATAAAAAAGTGATTTGTTTTAAGGATGAATAACAGATGCAGGTCTCCGGGCGAGATTGCCAGCATTAGAGTAATTAGTTGCAAGTTGAAAAATATTGGATACATCAAACATAACATTGCTTGGTAGCACTGCTGGAAGAGGGCGTCCCTCCCTAAACAACTCTGAGTAGCTGTTGGAGCAGAATTAAACCGAGATTGTATTTGTGGTCCCCTGAACCCAAGTTTTGGCAGGACGTCGGAGTGACAGTGCCACCCTGAGTGGCACCTGCTGCTCCAGCAGAATTATGCTGAGGTGGTAATTGCGGTCCCCTGAACCCAAGATTTCGTGAGGATGTCAGAGTGACAACACCACCTTGAATGTCAGGTGCTGCTGCAGCAGAATTGAACTGAGGCACAGGAGTCGCAGCAAGATTTATCTTGGGTGCATGTATTTTAGCTGCAGCCGGGCCATATAATGCTTCCTTCACCATTTCTGGTGTAAGTTCTCTCTTACTTTGTGCCACAGTGACAATTCTAAGGGCATTGTAAAACTCTGCCCGACCAACGAAACCAGTCTGCTCCTGGTCTGCACATGCCCATATCTGCCAATAATATAAGCAACCAATATAAACTAGAACAGATCCAAACTTCTGTTACAAAAAGAACGAGAAAGTGCACTCTTATAGTCAGTATTTAACATTTTATGAAAAACTTCCTTCAGCAAAACAAACATACAACTTCAAGAACCTATTTGCAGATATGATCATGACCCAAGAACATTTCCCTTGTATGTTACAATCCTAACTATTCCGTATTCATATAACACATTTCTGAAGTCTGCTTACCACCTAAGGTCGAAAGAATACACCAGAAAGTAAATTAATGACCTGATAACATAACTCTCTCAACATCAATTCCGCATTTATACTAAAGGTCGTACCCAGTGCACAAGGTTCCCGCTTTAGGCAGGGTCTGGAGAGGTGAATGTCGGCTAGCCTTACCCCCATTTTATGGAGAGGCTGCTCCCAATTCCGCATTTATACTAACACGAAATAAACATCTCATTTTAGATCGAAGAATTACGACATCCCGAGCTCCACATTAACCACTTCAACTACAATTAGATTAAAAATTCAAAATCAATCTGATTTGGACTACATTTCCACCAACATAAAATCCCGATCAACCACTATAATTACACAAATATAATCATACACACTACAATATATATATCCACTTTTATATTTATATATATATATGCATATATGGAGAGAGTGAAAGTACCTGGGCAAGGACCTATTTGGAGAGACCGGAGCCCTGGAAGAAAGCGACGGCTTCATTGCCACTAATCCGATCATCGCGGTCCAAACCGGCTCGTCGGAAATACGCATCGAAGAGATCCACGTTCGCCGATTGGTATTGCCACAGTCGGATTGCGATTCGCTGAAGATCAGACCATGGAAGCAATCGAGAGCGCCGCGCGCTCGGGCTGCCATACGCTTGAGGAGCGCCGGGAAGAATCAGAAAACCACGAATTCGAAGGACCAAGGTTTCGATGCCTTAAAAAACGACGACGTACAACGTGGATTTGGTGGCCCTTCTTCTCCGATTAGGAGGAAAATCAGAAGACAACGGAGACACGGAGCGATGGTTGTGATATTTCAAAACTGCCACTCTTTCGAATGAGCCCGGCCCATTAAGTATCATCAACTAGTGTTTTGGACGGGTTTATTAAGAGGATTGGATTAAATTAGGGGATTTTAACAAAAAATCTTTCTATACTGTTCATTTTAACGAAAAATCATATTTTTACATTAAAAAATCAATTCTATTACTATTCATTTTACCTTTTATCTTGTCTTTATCGTTAAAACTCAAAGTTTTCAAGCAATTTTCATTAGTTTTTCTTTAAATTAGTCCGGTTCAATTTAATACAAGAGCGCATCATATATTCGGCTCTGTATTAATAATCTTATCCGTTGCTATATACAGCGTATCAAACGAGGCCATAAGATGCTTCAAGTCTTCAACCAACGGTTTGAAAATTTTAAATTGTTATTACAAAGCGAAGAGAGTTTTCTACAATTTCAAGTCTAGGGACGCCCTTCTTAGAACCTATCTCATTTCTTCAAGGCGACTCCCATCACATAATCTTAAGAGCCAGAACACAAGGGCACCAAGATACACTCTATGAGCTCTTAGGTGTATTTATGTTGATCATCATTCGAGCCACCAATTTTTAGCTACTTGGATGTACAAGTTGTCATTATTCAGGAACAATCTCTTATAAAGTGGCCGAGATGCAAAGTTCGAAACCGTGCAAATATGGATTACTCTATCCTTGTGCGAATATTCTATCGCTTTAAAATTTTCTAGGTTTGATATCTGTTTCTTGAGTTTGTAGCTCATGGAATGCAGCTTGCTGCAATCCAACCCATTGGAAAAAGCTAGACATGACTGTGCTCAAGGTTATTTTCGTTCTTTACTTGCTTGCACATGCCAACAAGCCTTTGAGTAGTCCTTACGAAAAAACGCCAGCATAGATGGGAGGAAGAAGAAAAGGCAATGCGCAAGCAAGTGAATAATGAGCATACATGGCTGATAAGTCTAGGGCCGGCTAGCAACAGTTGGCGGGGCTGCCTAAGGCCCCCAAATTTTTTATATATATAAACTAATATTACAAACTTTGTCTGATCAAATAAAAAGTATACAGACTTTGAGCCATTGAGTATTTGCTTATAGAATTTTGTTAACCATATCGGTTACCATTGTCTCTGCAAAAAGAAGTTTTTCAAAATAAGTTGATCAAATTTTATCTTCGATCAACTATGTCGCAAGAAATATTGCATGAGTTTGCTATATTTTATCAATTGAAAAATGAATTGGTTGATTAGATTATGTAAACTTAATTTGTACATTTGTATCTAAAATGCTAGACGTATAATATTTCCATTATGTTTGTATATCTTTCTTCTTTTGATATTAATTTTTAATGATTTTTTACGTAGAAAGACTTTTTCATGTATTTAGAATTTTTTTTTTGTACACATCAATGTACAAAGATCGGGATTATGAGGCCATTATTTTTGGGATCAGATTTTTGGATACGAGCATATAAACCTCGAACAATCTGGGAATGGGATTGCAAGACCAATAGTTGGATGAAGACTTTTGTTCACTATTTTTCACAATTGGATCGTTGGAAACTTGATTTTTTCTCAGTTTCCCCGTATGTTCTAGATAATCTTCTTAATTAAATGAAGTAGGTGTGATGGTAGCGCTACTTCATGCTCATTTATGTTTTTTAGTGCCATGAACTCTGTAGTTAATTTTTTTTTTTCTGTTGAGAAATGGTAATGAAACTCTCTTAAAAGTGAGACTTTTTAATAGAGAGTCTCTATGGACTCTTTGACACCTCATATTTTTAGCACAATTCCGTGTCAACATTATAAAAATTGTGCAAAAAACGTGAGGTGTCAAAAAGTCTATGAAGAGTCTCACTTTTGAGAGAGTATCCTTAGCATTGTTTTTTACAATGACTCTATAGTTGTTTATGTATTTTCTGTCCATTATAATTGTCTTTTTGGGGCACATTATTTTGTTGTTTTATTATTCGAGGTGATAAAAAAAAGAACGGAATACAACTATACTTTGTGGTCTCATGACTCACCAAATGCCACATCCCGGCCGAGACCCCCACCACATCCCGACTTGATTCCACCGTAGCACGATATTGTTCGTTTTGGGCCCCGACCACACCCTCACGGTTTTGTTTCTGGGAACTCACACGAGAACTTCCCAGTGGATCACCTATCATGGGATTGCTCTCGCGCGAACTCGCTTAACTTCGGAGTTCTGATGAAATCCAAAGCCAGTAAGCTTCCAAAATGCCTAGTGCTAGGTAAGGATGGGAATATACATTTAAGGATCACTCCTCTGGGCGATGTGGGATGTCACAATCCACCCCACTTAAGGGGCCCGACGACCTCATCGACACACCACGCCCAGGGTTAGGCTCTGATACCAAATTGTCACATCTCGGCCCAGGCCCCACCACATCCCCGGCTTTACTCCACCGTAGCATGATATTGTCTGCTTTGGGCCCCGACCACGCCCTCACGGTTTTGTTTTTGGGAACTCACACAAGAATTTCCCAGTAGGTCACTCATCATGGGATTGCTCTCGTGCGAACTCGCTTAAATTTGGAGTTTCGATGAACCCAAAACCAATAAACTCCAAAAGGCCTCGTGCTAGGTAGGGATGTAAATATACATTTAAGGATCACTCCCCTGAGCAATGTGGGATGTCACACCAGAGGTTCGAAAGGTGCCATTGAAGGTTTTTGGGGGATCTTTTGAATGTATGATGCAAGACACTTTTGTGTCTAAATAAGTATTCGATAAAATACTTATTCCCGCATATCCCAACGACGCTCGAGAGGATGCGTTTAAAACTTACATTAGGACCTCCCGATTATCCCTGGATGCACCAATGGTTGGTGGTTTTCAAGAGACGAAAATGTGATGCCCAACAACCAACTGTTTTTTTTTTTCTTTTCAAAGAGAAAAAAAAATACCAACTATTTCTGAATGGAAAAAAAAAATTACTTGTCTACTTCCCTTGAAAATAGTCATTGTTATTTACCAGTTAATCATAGTTTAACATATCTCCGCCGCTTAATATTGCATAGTGATATTTGTTTTTACTAGTAAATGAAATATCTTAATTTTCGCTCTCATATATAACAAGTTTGATACAAATTATCTCGAAGAAAAAAAAGAATATGTGTATGTATCAGCAATAAAGAATGAGTTCTTTTACACCAATAAATAAGGTGGGTTGATCTAGATTTTTCGCGGTTCCCTGAATTATTTACAAGTGGTATTCAAGCTGTTATTTTTGCAACCTTAGTTGCGGCTTATATAGACAAATCCATAGAAGGTCATCATTGACTAGGCAAGCTTCTTTTTCTTTTGTCGAAAAAAAGAAAGAAATTTCATTTAATGAAAAAAACCCCAATACAATTACATTAAACTAGTCCAATAAGATGGGGACAACCAAAGCCCATTCAACAAAAGCTGACCACTTCTGTCGCCATCACTTTGCCAGCGACCACAAGGGTAGCCACCTAAAAAGAATCAGCCATGCGTTGCATTTGATGAAGGTATCCTAGTGCAAAACAATTCAACATGCAATCAAAACCACCACACCGGAGAAGAGCCAACAGATTCGGACCACAAACACAAGCCTCGGCAAGTAGAACAAAAAACCAAAATAAATGGGAAGGGGATGGGGCTAAGGGGGCATCTAAATATCATCGCTTTGGGCAAAGCTGCAACATGCTTGCGCCTTGATTTCATGCATGGATATTAAATCCCTAGTGTATTGCCTTTCTTTTTTACTCTAGGAGTGCGTATGGAATCCTACTAATACTCTATGTATGGATACCATTGAGTGTGTCTAGATGCCTACACTCTGTTAGGTTCCATTGAGTGCGTCTGGATCCCTACATTTTGTTCGGTTCTATTGAGTTCGTCTGGAACATTCATCCTATGGATTGCATGTGGAGTTAGTCTGAATCCTACTTCATGTCTTGTGTGTCAGTTCTATCCTATTTCATTAGTGCATTTAGAATGCGTAACGTTGTGAATCGTATTAGCTCTTGTGTATTCTTTGTATTTGATTCCATGGGTGCGTTCGGAATGTGGAACGTTTTGCGTTTGCTGGCCTTATTATTTTAATATATATTGAAAGGGAAGTCGATTGAATATCAGTGAGGATTCAATGGATTTTGTGAGTGAAGATATTTTATACATGCAAAGTATTGTGAAATGTTTTATAAATGAGATTGATTGACTTTTCAATCACATATGTATTACTGTCACTCACACGAGCTTTATAGCTTGTCTGAGTTTTTGCTTTGCCCGATGCACCATTCTCACAGTGTAGAGGGTAATTTTGCAAGTTGACAGGTGTTCAACGTTCTGAAGTTATGTGTCGATCCTATTAGGGGTGGGTTCAAAAAACCGAAACCGAAAAAAACCGAAAACCAAACCGAACCGAAACCGAAAAAACTGAACTGAATGAAAAAACCAAACCGAATTGAAAATACCGAACTGAACTGAATTCTTTTGGTTCGGTTCGGTTTTAGTGATCTAGAAACCGAACCAAACCGAACCGAACCAAATTAATTAAATTAATTTTTTTATTTAATTATTTGTTTTGGATATTATTTTCTAAACCCAATTTGTAAATTAAAATGTGTTAAACCCAATGTGTTGCCAAACTTTAAGCTCAAAATATTAAAAATTGCCTATAAAAACTCTAAACCCTAACCTATTATTTCTCTCCCATATAAGGTTCCAGAACCAAACCTCATCCTGAAGTACCTATATCCATCTCCATAACACTGTCTACTTATGCCACATCTTTCTTTTCCAAATCTACTATCATATAACATGTAACAGAATCCATAAACATTTATTTCGGGTAAATTACTTGGGTAATTTGTTATGGAAAAAAAATCCAACACACACTAAATAAATCCACCCACGCATTACTTTTACTAATCAAGTTGTCAACATGTAGTTACAAGCAACACAACCCTGATCTTTGAACAACATCATACAATTTAACTTTTTAAGTCATTTGTACGATTTTTGTGTTGTGAGGTTGTTAGT